AGAGCATTTTCATATAAAACTCAAACCGAACAACGAGATTTCGACATGATCTTCTTATAATGAACTGAAATACATAAAGAGAGGGTAAACAAGAATGTACCCTTCAGTTCGGACGAGGATTGCACGGTGATGTGCGTGCGTGTGCTAAGCTTGAACGCGTGCGTACGTACTTCCCTTGTGCTTCCGCCTTCCTTAGCTATTCTTGTATAATTTTCTCACAATATTTCCTTACTATTTTTCTCTCTATTCTTTGCTGAAATTAGGCTCGGTTTGATGCATGAAATTGCATGGAAACAAGGTCCACGCTCGGTTATTTATTATGGTAAAATCCATGGGTGAAAATTGGGTCAAAGGGGTGGTTGATGACGCATTCTTCTCTTGTTGACATGTGTCTCGGCCAAGTGCTGAAGTGTGGCGTTTAAAGCCTAGTCATTGCCGAGGTGCCGGGCATGCACGGGCTTAGTCATCGCCCGTGCGTTCGTGGCATGTCGTGTGTGCAAGCAAGGAGGTGACTCACCACCCCACTTGCACACCCCAAACTCATCTTGGACGGCAACTTTAAAGAAAGAGATTTGGAACTTGCTTTAGTTGATCATGGTACTTAGTGATATAAGCGTGTGTGTTTAAGGGGCTTGATGGCACGCGCTATGCGCAGTGTGCGGCAATGTGTGCTGCGCGCGCACAGCGTGCACGGCTACGCGTACAACTGTGTGCATACATAGTGCACCGTGTGTGTACTCATGACTTAACTTAATTTCGGCTTCGAACCTAATTCCGAACATTCATAACTTTCAATAACTAATCCCGATTAATAATGTCCGTTTATAAAATAAACGGTTCGGAAATTAATTATCGATTTCAACTCGGTTAATAATTAACCAAGTAAACTTTTCGACTTATCATCGAACTTATTCGCTGAAAATGAACGGAATCAGTAAAAGATAATACATCATTTATATTAACAAGAAGTCGGGTTATTACAAAGTATAGTGTAGTTACTTATTAATCGGCTATACTGGTTTAGTCAGAATTTCAGCAGAGTCAGTTATTTGTACGCTCTACCGTTGACTTTTCAGAAAGCGGAGCAGAATATAACTCTAGAAACAACCTCGATTATGTTGTGGGCAAGTACCTTTTTTCTATGTATCGAGGATAGTCGTGGCGATATATTAGCGCCATAAGATCGATTTCAAACCTTAGAATTAAGACTGAGTAAATTCTGCCAGAAATGGCAGGACCCAACAAGCAATAGCCGATCCAAGATCAACAAGGAAGAGGAAGTGCCAGTGCCTACGCTCGTCACTAGTAGAAGCAGAAGTCTAGAAGACTCAAGAAGATGCATGTAGTTTAACTATCTCCATTCCGTGAACTCGCAATACTTTTGTTGCGGGAATTTCTTCATATTTTGAAACTCCGTTAAAATTCAAGTTGAGACCGAAATTTCAGTGCATTCCATTGTTTGAACTATGTAAGCGTTGAGTTGAGTTCTAATACTAGAGGTTACCTCACTTGAATTGGCAACACGCCTTACAGCTAGCATTATAAGTAATAGATTTTCAGTGTATAAGAGTCATAGATCCGGGTAAGTCCTGGAGGCTTGAAATAAAAGCCATAAGTCCGGAAGGAACCATGGAGGCTTGAAGCTGAACCATAGCAGATATATTTTCCATATGAGGTGATCTCTAGTAGTTAGAGAAAGAGGAGACCCAGTTTAAAGGAAACTAGAGAGAGGATTGCACGTTGAGTCATGTTTTGACTCCATCACCCAAGGAAGTTCCAATAGTATGAGAATACTCAGATGACAGTTCACAGAGAATTTAATGAAAGCCTAGTGGAAGTTGAGATAGCATGTTTAAGAAGACGAAGACTTATAAATTTTGTATACCTGTGCCGAATGCCACAACTCTCGAGTTGGGTTGTGGGCAGATGGACGATATGCCGATAGGAAAATTCTAGAAGTCGTGAAGAGAGAGAGAGAGAGACAAAGAGAGCACTTCACTAACAATGTCCGGAGAGTTAACCATTGTTTCAATCGCGTGTACGTATTCTCAAAATGTTACCGAGAAGACCACTTAACCGACAAATGAAATTCGATCGACCTGTTGCTGGAGTAGGACTAGCATCAAAAGCGGCAAACCGAGAGACTCCAAGAAGCTGCAAGAACTGAAGACCCAGACTTCAAGAAGCTGCAAGAGCTGAAGACCCAGACGCCAAGAAGCTGCAAGAACTGAAGACGGAGATCTGAATTGTGAATTGTTGGACCAAGAGCGTCACCCTAGGGTGCGCCCGATGGTTCGTGAAGAAAGAAGATGAGCACTAATTACCAAAAGTTATGTATACTCAAGGAGGAGAGTAAGTACTCACCTTTGAGAGTCGAGAAGTTGTCGACCCATGCGGGAAGACAACAAGTTCCAAGATTGAACTTGAAGCTCGGACATCCTCTATGAGAAGTTGAGGAGCCCGAAGCCTCAAGATCAGAAAGCACGAGAAAGTTGAGGTGATGAAGTCATCTCTAAGTACTAGTGGTGTACGACATCACTAGTTTTAGAATAGACGTTGAAGAAAGAAAGAACAGAAAAGCCACAACATTGAAATTTTAATTACCCTTGGGTAAATTTTACCCATATAAGTAGTGAGACCCTCGATTTGTATCAAGAAGAAGTTAGATCCAGTAGTAGTGCACCGAGTTAACTCAGCACCGCAGTACCGTGAAGCCACTAGCATAAGACGTGGATACGACTGTTTTATGACTACAGGCGGCGCTGACGCCGCAGGTACATCGCACGCAGGTATAGCATGCAGGTGTTCCGCGCCCGTGGGCCCCGGGTAGTGGGTAAGCCGCATGCAACGTACCGTGTGCAACGTACCGCATTGTCAGGAGCCGGGTCACAGCAAGTCGAACCGCAATTGCTAGTTGTCCTCATCAATATTACAGATCAATGGACGATCAGAACGCTCAGATGCTTGCGTTTTGAACGAAAATTTCATTCGAAAGAGCGATTTTCTATTGAGATAGTTGATAAATGTCGATTGGCATGACATCGTACGATTTAGTACGGACAAGTGTGGATCGCTGACGTACAAGAAAGAAATAGCGAGAGAAAGATTCTCGGTCAATAGTAGACCAACAGACAATAGAGAAGAGATCAACAATCCATGCTAAGTTCAAGGCAACCCTGAACCGACGAAAGTCGCGTACAGGCCAGCCACAGAAAGATCTTCAGATCAGTTTGAACGGCAAGATGACCCTGAGGGTCATAGCCGCAGATGAGCAACAGTTAGTTACCCCAGTAATTTTCAACATATAGCAGAGACGGCGAGCTAAGCCTAACAGTTGAGGCTTTATCGTCGAAATTCTCTGGAAATATTGAGCGATTTTTCTCCACGTATCAAATTCGAGAAGATGTACTCGAGCCCGAACACGTGGAAACTTTAGATGAGCCTCACGTTGATCCGAGTTGACCCATGAGATAGTGCCTACAACCACTTTTGGCAGAAGGTACGCTAGTCAGAGAGTCGAGAAGTAGGTCTCTTTGAGTCCAGGAGTGTTGCTGAAGCTAGGGGCGATGCTGCTAAGAGTATAGATGAGCTTCTTTTGAAGTTCCCCAATATAGTTTCTAAAGTTTTGTCTTCGATTTTATCTAAGGCACATAGTGAGATTTTTAGCGAGTTGCCATGACGAACGAGTACCAGCGAGACCGGCCAATGCCGGTACCGCCCTATTACAGTATCCAGACAGAGACCCCAGTTTCTTGAACTTGGGTTAACGGTGTATAATAGCCACAAGGCTGGGAAAATTATGGAGGCTTGAAATAAGAGTCACTTGTCCGAATTTACCTGGGGTCTTGATACCGGAGTTGCCATGGCATAGCCGAGATCAATAGCAGGAGGAAGACAGAATTCAGAGTTAGAAGTCCTAGATTTGAGATTCATTTGTATATGGCCTTAAAGTTTAGAGTTTTGACATATATTTTAGTTTAGCATTTCCAAGTTCATGAAAAAATTGCTTGATTTGCCAGCAAGTGAAGTCTGAGCACAAGTTTTCACCCAATTTCGTGCAACCACTAGAGGTTTCGTTGTGAAAGTGGAAGCACGTTACCATGGATTTTGTTACGGGACTACCCAAATCAAAAGAG